GGAAAGATACTTTACTGTCTCTGTAGGAGTTGGTCACAGGGTCACAGGACAGTGTCATGCTTTGAGGGCTTGAGCAAAGAGGTGCCTCACTCCACAAGCTCAGGGATGGCAAGATCTGGGGAGATGCTTCCCCTTGGGGCATGCGAGGGAGGGATGGTCACTGTACACAATGACACTGATCACAGTAAGCTGCCTTAAGTACAGCTAACAAAGTGTCCTATGCACAGGATATAAAACAGCAAACTGACCTTATTCAACTTAAAGGACGTCAAACAACAACTAAGACGCATGTGTACAAAAAGATGAAGAGTATTCTTACATTTTCCAGCAGGAATAGCATAGAAACTGACACTAATCTCATAGGACAGGAAGAAAATAAATTGAAAAATGTAATTTTCATTTGCAATGTCCCCAGTCCCATCACAGGGCTGAGAGATCATCTCCCTCCACTGAACAGTCTGACATTCACAAAAATAAAAAGGCCTTTTCTGACTTTGTGTGGGTAATTTTTGTTTAATACTTTGTTTTTATTTGTTTCATTATCAGTTGGCTAGTTCTGCATTTCCTGGAATTGAAGGAATGGTTTTCAGCAAAAGGAAAACCATGTGTAACTTTATGTTTCCTTTTTTTTTTTTTTTTTTTTAAATTTTTTTTTTCTGCCTATTGCTTTTAAGGAATAGTGACAAGAGAACAGAGTAGAAAGTTATTTTAGAGTGACATTAGGAAGTCAGTAAGATCACTCCAATTTCCTATAGCTAATCAATTTCAGTCCCAGCTAATAAAATTCATTATAACAAGGTAAGATTACAGAGTGGCCAGGGTCCAACATGAAAATGATTTGAATTTCAATGTATTAATATAACAAGACTTAATATGGTGCTTCTGTAATAGTGCAACTTTTTTTCACACATACTACACTTACTAGGATGCAATCAATATTAAAGAAGACACTCAGCTCCTTTTAAGATAGTATCAGCCTGGGATAGAGTTAATATGAAAGAATTTGCCCATGTCATACAATTATTTTCACTGTTCTATCAGAGTTCAATAAAGTTTTGTGGTCCTGAAACCATGCCTTTGCTCTTTCTTGACCCATTAACTCAGAAGGGGCTTGGGGAATGGTAGCAGTGTTATCTTTCTGAAAAGCATTCCACTGAAAATAGAGCAGATGCAATCAGAAAGCTCCAAGGAATGTTGTGAGCATGCACTGTGGCTAGACACACTCACTATCTAAATATCACCTATAGGAAGATGGCAGGGTTTCAACAGGCACAACTCCACCCCTGAGGCAGTATTAGCAGCCTAGGGCTGCTCCCATTGCACATATGCATCCTGCCAGTTAAAAACTTTTTTACCTCTCATCTGCTGTGTATGGGTTCAGGAAGAAAAAAAGATGATATCTAAGTAAGTGCAGAGAGATTTAAAATGAATGATTTATTAAAATAAAATGACAGTAAGTGAATTCAATCTTTATCTATTCTTTCATGTTGTATTGGCAATTTTCAAGATTTGCTTGCACATCAGATATTTTATAAGACATAACCCTGATTTTTAAAAGCAATAAAATATTTTGGTATGGAAGTAGACTACCTGACACAAATGTAATGAGCCTGTAATCTCTTTGAATAAATTACAATTTGGGATATTTTCTCTTCATTTAGAAGATAAATTTTTTAGCACATGGTTATTTTCCAAACCACTCACAAATAGTTAAAATTAATATATGATGAAGTTTATTTATCTGTCTTTCTTGTGTTGTCTGTGGCTATGTTTATTTTTGCTATTTCAGTAGAATTATAATTTTCAAAATACAGGACTTCAAAAAATTTCATTGAAAATGCATTTCTATTTATGCAAAAAATACATAGTCACTTAAAAAGAAAAATCCTTTAAAACTGTCAAACTGCCAATCAAATAATGTCTGAATAAAATAAACCAATAATAGCTACAGTTGTTATTAAAGGTTCTTTTGCTAGGATTGAAAAAGTTAAACAATGTTACAGGGATTGGCAGAAAGTCAGAGCCCTCTGAGATGACTTGGTTCAGAAGCAAGCTGAAATTACTGGGATGAAATTGTAGTGAGAAAATGAGAAAAAAAGTATTCTGACTCTTCACCACTGATAACAACAGCTTTTTCTTTTTTTTTTTTTTTTTTAGCTTCAATAATTAAATTTTATAAGGATTTCCCCTCAGCATTGTTAATTCTTGTAACTACTCCTCTCACCATTATTCTAGTTATAAGAATCATTCCAGCCACCAAAATAAAGTGATAGCTAATTGGGGAGTGAATAGATCACAGCACCCTATCTCCTCTAGCAGATTGACAACAGAGAAATGATATGGTTGCATCTGTGTGTGTATTAATTTATTAGACTCACACATAGCAATGAGCACCCTTACACAGTAGAAAGGAAGCAGAAGTGGATAAGGAAAAACTGTGAAGGAAATTGCTGCTCCATAGCTGTCCTGTAGACTTACAGCATTGGGAAATGCATCCAATTCTCTTGGCTGAGGAAACATTATTCCATGCAGATCAGCTGTTCAGCTCTTAGTCTGTAGCGATCTGCTGTGGAGACTATGTGATATGTGCTTTCTCATATTGAAACTTTCTGTCTTTTACTTCTATAATGACTTTTTTTTTTTTTTAAATAAACTTGGAACTGTTCATGTATGAGGGAAAATCACTGTCTTTCAGAATCACTGGGACACTACACACACACTTCTGAGAAAAACCACCTCCTAAGGGCCCTCCTTCAGTATCTGCCTCTGTCAAAGCACAAGTTCGGCCAAGCCACTCTGCCTGGCCCAGGGCTGGTGACGTGTCACATTACACGTTATGGATACTTGATTTGCTAAGGACTGGAAGAACCCCTCTAACATGTAACTGAGGGCTGAATCCTTTCAGAAGCAAAAATTCAGTACATTCTGGCAGCATTTTATATAATTTCCTAATTCAACAGAAAGAAATGGAAGAAAAGACATAAAAATGGGCAGAAAACAGGAAAAAAAGTCAACTAATTTATTTGAATAATATGGATATTTAATATTCTGACCTCAATCATTGGTTACAAATTCTTGTTTGGGAAAATAAAAGGCCAACACCAAAAGTAAAATATTTGGAAATTCCAGTTGCTCTTCCTACAAATTACTTCCTGTTTCACCAAAAAAAATCAGTTTCCCAGACATTATGCAAACTGCTGTAGCTTTTCTGACACCGTTACTGTCTTATAGTTCTCTATACAACCATTTCAATGGCCACAGATGGCTGAAATATGGTAGAACTAGTCAAATCTACACTTGTCCTTTCTACTTCCAATCTACTACAGCTTCTAGTCTGGCAGTGCTAGCTGCTGTTTCAGAATTATACTATTAAAAACTACAGGCACTTAGAAGTTGTTTTTAGTGGTATTTTCTAATTTGTGTTATGTGTTGGACATAAATAATAGAGTGCTGATTTTTCAAAGGCAATAACTTGCTACTAAGAAATTGTATATATTGATTTTCTGACACTAAACATTTTGAATCTTCAAACAATTCACACAAGAGAACCATAAAAAACTGATTATTTCATTGTTCTGCAAAAACTGTTTTCATCCTACCCAAAACTATCACACACATCCAGCAAACTTCAGCTCAGTCAGGAGCCCAATTAGCTTCTGAAATACTGTTCTCCAAGTAAATTCTCATATAATTTCCACAAAATCTATACCATTCTGTCATAAAAAGAAGTAACCCCAAATATATATTCATGAATATTTTTTTCCTGAAACATTTTAAGTCCAGTACCACTTTCAAGACAAATACTTCTGTGTTGTTCCACAAAATTCACACATTGTATGTTAGTTTAGAAAGTAACATATCCAGCAGATAAAGTGAGTAAAATACATTATCAGATCCTACTCCAGGTGAAAACATGTAACTAAAATCTTCTTCTAAACCAGTAATGAATTCAAGACTTAGTTCCAGGGCAGTCAAGGTTAAATCCAGATGCTTTTAAATTTAGAAGAAGCCAGATTATCATCCATATGCATATTTTTGGCATCAATGCTTTTTCAAGCTTGCTGTGGGTATATTTCCAGTTTGATTTCAGTTCCTTAGTTCAGATCATGACTTATTTCCAACCCAGTTCTGTTGCTATATGAACTATTTCAATTAGGGCAACAACACAGAATTCTCCCTTTTTTTTCTTTCTCCTTGATAAGATTATTTTCTTTAAGAATAAATTCCATTATAAGGCTATCAAAATCTTGCCTTCCTAATATGTAATGTTTGTTTAATTTTCAAATAATACATCTGATATTATAAGCATTTGCTTCTCATCACTTTTACTTGCACCAGACCTTGCAATAGCCTGACACACAATTAGTAATGTCAGTGGGCTGCACTATTAATTTTTTTTCATTATTCTACTAAAACTGTAGTATATATAAGAAAATAATGTCTTCTTCTAGAAATACAATTTCGCAGCAATTACACTGCATGACTGTCAGGAAAAGAGCACCTAATATAGCTCCTGTCTTGCACAAGCACCTGGCACAGCAAGTGTGGGAGGAGTGCAGACGACCATCTCAATATCTGCATATATCCGAATAATACCTGAATAACAGGAAAATCAGCATTATGATCATGAATTGATTTATAACCAGTGGTACAAGACTCACTGGCAGAAGGACAGTGAAGTGCATAATTTTACATGATGTGTTAACATGCACTGGTCTTGTGTAGTGGTTTGCTTGGAAAAGTGCTGTTGATGTATGAATAATGTACATATAATGTACGTTATTGCTCAGACTGATGGCTAAATAATGATTTTATGTAATGCAACAAAAGGTTGAGTTTACATTATTAAATCAAATCCACGTAGCAGACTGTAACACTGTGATTCCAACGTACTTTTTCCTTGTGTGTACTAAAATAAAATAAACTGTTTCATATATCATAAATCTCATTAAACATTTAGCAGGTGGAATTCAACCCAACATAACTTGAACTTACTATACCTCACTAAACTGTTGGCAGTGTCAGGATCTTGTGCTGTTACAGTGCCAACAGCTGTCCCGATCTTTGCATTTTCATAAACTTCCATGAGATAAGAAGGCATAGTGAAGAGAGGAGGTTCATCCACATCACCAACTATGATCTTCAGCATTGTTACATCCTTGAATGGTCCCAAGTGTGAAAAGCGGAAGTCAAGATGAGTATTTGCTCCTTCTATATTAAGTGTATAGGATTTCTTTTTTTCATAGTTGAGTGGCTGTTGGCAGAAAAAAAAAAGTATTTCTCATTACCATTCTGTGCTTCAGTTTAGCCTGGTAGCTAACTATATCTTTTCAGTTTAGTTTGGTAGCAGGTTACTGTGAAGGGACAACTTTCTGTGATATTCTGACAGTCATTCACATACATTATAACTAGAAGGTTATACATGGAGTAGGATGACTCAAGTTTTCTCTCCAACAATTCTCCAGAATTTTGTTCTGGGAGAACTCAGGGTTGTGACTGAGTGTCAAATTCTTCTTCTGTGACGATGTAGTCTCTGGATTTTATCACTCTTCAAATTTAGTGGTCATTGTTAGATTCTTAAAAGGTATTCCAAATTAAATTAATTTCATACCTTTAATTAACAAGTTTAATAGACAGTGATGGGGATTTAGAAATATTTTGGGCACCTCTTCTCTTAAACCTCCATCTGAAAAGCAACTCCTTGCATGAAAACACTCTGCTGCAATATAACACAGAAATTTAAATATGTAAGGATGGTCTAAACATATGCATGCATGCTTTCCTAAAGAGAGGCAAATGCATGGTGTATACCTATAGTCTATACCACTTTATTTTAAATTCTTTACCAGCAGCAACCTGAGAGACAACTTCTCAGCCTGTCTTACTATGTACTGCTTCACTGCACATGGATTAAACAGCCATAAGCGGAAAGAAAGTCTGCAGCTGTAGATGTGCCTTCTACAAGGCCTAATGTTCAAATAAAACCTAACAGAAAGCAAATCCCTGTCTGTACCATCCACAAGAAGTGCTACTGCCACTTTAGTATTACCTTTATTATTAAAATCATTAATTAATTTTATTAATTAAAATTATCTATTAAGGTATTAAAATCAATAGGTTCCCACTAGGAATTCCACATCTCTACTAGGAAGAAGTTGGTTTGACTCATGTATCACATAGCACTTTCTTTCTTAGGAGTAGTATTTCTAGTTAGCTATTTACATGTCAACATTTTATCTGTTTCCCTTCTTTTATATCTCTCTTAATCCTCTGAAATGTTTTAGGCTTACTAAGAAAAAAATGATGGCCTTGTAGATCATGAAAATGAAATTCATGTATGCAGATTCAGTTGCATGCTGTTAAATGATAAGCTTTACGGACAATATTTTGTTACAAAGACAATGAAATTAATATTAAAATCAGGAGCATGAACTGGCTAATAGTCTTCAATTTTTGTGCAAAACAGTAAGTTATGCAACCTTTTACTGCAGTTAGAACCAGTCTGAGCTCACAGGACAGGCCATGACACACCCAACTCCCAACTCTTCCAGTGTTAGATGGTTATGCAGTGGGGGTGACTGAGAGGACCACAGCTATGGGCTGTTTTCTTTTGCATCGCTAAAATAATTTACTACTTTTCATGGACAGTAAATCACAACCTTACTGTGAGAAGTTACCTTTTCCATATATTGTTTGCTGGTGTTTATTGCTGAAATGTCTATAAAAATACATTTTCCATTTACATGAATTAAACATCTTAAGATACTGATCTGAAAACCAGTAATAAATAGCAAAAACTGCATTGCATGATGTGTTGCACAAACACTACATACAATACTTTATAACCTGAGAGGTCAACTATTTTTTTTGGTTTTGCAGAGAAAGATAAATGTGTAAATGAAGAACTTGTACTATAATGACCATAGGGACTAAATGCAATGATGAGGACAAGGCCAACAGGAGAAGAGCCTGAGAAAGCAGTCATAAAACAAGGCACTTTGGGCCAAAGCTATTTAAATGTACAAGCATCAAGAACAATCCCTGTTGTAATTTTTTGAACTTTTATCAGTATCTGTCTGCAATTACATGAAGTTCAGCAAGTTTCCAGGAATCAGTTAGACTCATGAGGCTATAAAGAATGCCAAGTGGTCATTCATCAGTCTCAAGAAAATATGTCATTTCAGGCAATCACTGAATAGACTGCTAAGCTTCACAGGGTTACATTTTAAATGCACTCCTCTGAGTGTATTTAAATGTTGAGAAAAAGCGCCCATATGTGATAATAAATACATCAAGACTTTACTGGGTTACAACTTTCAGCCTTCAGCTGATTTATACAGAAGGAAAGGTAGTTAATATATATTGCCATGCTGACCAAAGCAGATAGTTTGTACAGATACGTACTACTGGTAAATTTCAAACAGTCTCAGAACACAGCATAACAGTAATTTGCATATTCATGTAATACTATTTTATGACAGAAATTTAGAACTCAGCAGAAAAATAGATCTCAAAATATTATACAAAGTAAATGTATATTCTTCTCTTTCATCTCCTGTGCCATGCTTTAGCCCACGTCCCACAAGGTCAATGATCTAACTGGAATCCCCACAGGTAGAAATTTTGGTGTGACAGAATGTCATGAAAATCAATATTGTTTTGTGTGGACCTACAGCCTGACTGAACATAAATCAATGGAAGTGTTCAAACCTTCGATCAATGATAAATTCTTATTTCCTATCACACTAGAGAGTTGAAAAGTAATACTTAAGCCAAGAATTACGAGGAACTCAATGTGTGATTTATCAATGTCTGTATATTTCGTAGATAAAATCTAAAGTAAATTTGAGTGTTGATGTATAAGAAATATAGCTGGTCAGGATTTATATATATTTCTTTGAGCTAAAATAGGTCAATTCGTACAGAAATAAATCTAGTAAATACAATTTCATATAATCTATATGATTTCATACTCTAAAATTTTCTAACTTTGATTTAGATGACATTCATTTATGTATACTATATTACTGCTATGAACAGATCAAATATTAAATCATTATTTGCACTGCTTTGTAGCATATATACTCTAAGATTAAACAAATTCAACATAGGATGGCAAATTTTAAATAGGAGATTGGGGAAAATAAAATGTATACTGATAATATTTGGATTAAGTTATACAAGAATGTTAATTTTTCTCAAAAAACATGAGGCATAATATGGATCCTAAAGTCTTGTTTTCTCTTACGTAGTTATTCAATTGGACATTATTACTGGTTTTTATTGAGAAGTACACAAGTATTCCAGATAATCAGAAAAAGCTGATGTTTCAATGAGCCTAAGTTTTTAAAACTATAGCCAAAGCAGTTTTTTCTCTTACTTTTCTTTAGTCTTCTTTCCACAACTTCTCCAAAATAAAAATCATATACTTGGACACAGAAGAAAAAAAAAAAAAAGAAAAAAGAAAAAGCCTACACTCCTGCACAGTGATACACAGAGGTAAAGAAAAAAAAAAACAACAAAACAAAGAACAACAACATTACTTTCAACATTTTGAGATATCTTGGAGAAAAGATACATATTGCACTACAGAAAACTATTACCAGGGGTCCCAATTAGTACTAATTTTTTAGTTTTGCTTGTTCTCTCCTGAGAAGTAAGGAACTTTTCAATCAAAGGAAGCCAGATTCTACATATTTGAATCACTCACAAGTATTTTTCATTGTATACTTGATAAAATATTCAATAACTGAAATCTGTTTGCAATTTGAATGCATAGAATTTTATTTTGTTGGAATACTGCTTAAAATACTGTATTAAAATTGACATTTATTTTACATTTACAGCTTGTACAATGCTGTGCTAAGAAATATGCTCATCTACTGTCTCAAGTAATCTGTGCTGTTTAGCAGTAGAAGGAGAGAATGGAAGTATTCCACACTGGCTTAAGATTTGTTAAATCTAACATTTCTCAGTTGAAATAAAATATTGACCAAATAAAGTGTATCCTTCCTTGTCTTAATAGGAAAGGGACTCAAGTTACTGTCATATGTATGTAAAAGAACAAGAAACGTATGCTTTTGTCATATTCTAAAACACAGAGAAATGTCTGCCAACAACAATAAGAAATGGAATTTTACATATTCGATGTAAGAACTACTTTGTTTTGTTGCAGACTCTTCCTTTGTTCTTCATGTTCTTAATATGCATCTCTGTTGTACTTAATGAATAATAGCCATGGTGAACTTTTAAACAGAATAATATTCATTTTGAGGAAACAATAACAGATTATAGCATCACCTCCATCTAGGCTACCATGAGCTTCACTGGTATAGAAAAGTCAAGAGTTTATTTTTATGGCTGAAAGGCTAAAATGAATTAAAGTTTTTTATGACTCTGAGAAAGATAGGAACCATTTTTAAATCATTATAAATGATGAAAATAACATTTCCTTCAGTTACAAATACATGCATAAATATCTATCCAGATGCAAAAGAACAACATTTATTACAGTGTTGTTATTTGTTTAGATTCCTTTTTCTCACAATTTCTCTTTCAGAGGTTCTGGTTTTCATCCTTCCTAGTTTCAGTCAAGCACAGAAAACACATGAGCTAAACATGAATGTAAATTCACTACCATTTTTTAGGGCACATGGGTATAATTGATGCCTCAAAACAGTAACAACAAAGCCATGTGAGAATTGCTAATTGAAATCTGTTAGCCCAAATGAAAAAAAATATATATATATCAAAAAATGATTTCCCTTGTTGGAAACATTAAAAAAAAAATCATTTTAAAATATAATAACTCAACTTTCTGTACTACTATTAAAGTAAAGTCAAGTTTATCCATAGGATTACTATTAACATAAATAGGCAAGTATTTCAGGAAAGATTTGCTGTGAACTCATTTCAGAGGGTTTAATACACAGATGAAATTATCTGTGGAATTATATTTTTGTACGGAACTTAGTAAGAGTGAACTTAAATGGCAAGAACACTTTATGATTAATAGTCTAAATAGACAGGGACAAATGCAGGAAATGCATATAACAGAATCATAGAATCATAGAATGGCCTGGGTCGAAGAGGACCACAACAATCAACTAGTTTCAAACCCTATGCCCTGGACAGGGTTGCCAAACACTAGACCAGGCTGCCCAGAGCCACATCCATGCACATTGAATGCCTCCAGGGATGGAGCATCCACAACCTCCTTGAGTAATCTGAGACCAGTGCATCATCACCCTCTGTGTGAAGAAATTCCTCCGAATATCTAACCAAAATCTCCCGTCTTAGTTTAAAACCATTCCCCCTTGTACTATCAATATCCATCCATGTAAACAGTTGTTCCCCCTCCAGTATATGCTCCCTTCAAGTATTAGAAAGCCACAATGAGGTCTCCCTGAAGCATTCTCTTCTCCAAGCTAAACAAGCTCAGCTCAATCTTCCTTCACAGGAGAGGTGCTCCAGGCCTCTGATCATCTTAGTGGCCCTCTTCTGGACCTATTCCAAGAGCCCTGCTGGGAGCCTGGACACAGTATCCCAGATGGGGCCTCACAAGAGCTGAGTAGAACTGGGACAATCACCTCCCTCTCCCTGCTGGCCACCCCTTTCTTAAGGCAGCCCAGAATACAATTGGCCTTCCAGCCTGCAAGCCCACACTGCTGGCTTATGTCCAGCTTCTCATCCACCAGGACCCCCAAGCCCTTCTCTGCAGGGCTGATCTCAGGTTGTTCTTCCCCTAGTATATATAAATACCTGGGATTGCCCTGACCCAAGTGCAATACCTTGCACTTGGTCTTGTTGAACCTCATTAGGTTCTCATGGGCCCACTTCTCCAGCCTGTCCAGGTTTCCCTTCCCTCCAATGTATCAGCTACACCACTCAGATATATATGATAACTGTGTGATGGTTAGGCCAGTTAAGTTTTGAGTCTTTTTGAGTTAGTGTCTGTATTACACAATGCAAAATACTTGGCACAGTAGATAGCCAGCTAGGAAGAAATTCAAGTAACAAAGGTATATGAAAACTTAAGTATACATTCATTTCCATAGATAAGCTTTCCACAGAAAATTTCATGCATTTCTGTACAACTCAAAGCCAAATTTCTTTTTTTTTTTTTTTTTTTTAATATTTCATTCATTCATTTTGATGAGTAAAACGTCAGCAAAGTAAAATTATTTTAATAAACAACTCACAAATATTAGTTCTGACCACCCAAAACAAACAAACAAACAAACAAACCAAAAAAAACCCACAAAAGATATAAATGTTTCTCTTTGAATTTTTTTTTCTCCCCGCTTTCTCTGAAAAGGCTTAAGATGTTCTAGAGAGCAGCATGGATAAACTTACACTGCTGAAGTTAATAGGGTGACACAGAAAAAAAAAAAAAAAAAAAAAAAAAATTACAGCACCTGCTTATTTGACATTCAACATAACATTTTTAATGACATACACTAGGAACTTTCAATGCCTGCTGCTTACCTTCTTCAGGGAAAGAATTCCTTCCCGTGTTTCTTTGTCAGTGGATATGGAAAACACCCCAGCACCATCACCATTTATAATTGTGTACTTCATGTCAGCATTTGAGCCAGTGTCTGCATCATTTGCCTTGATTTTGCCAACTGCTGATCCAACCTGAGCTGATTCAGGAACATAGAGCTGATAATGTTCTGAGGGGAAAAAAAAAAATAAACAAAAAACAGCTCGGACATTTTTTAGCCAAGTAAATTAAAGAACCATTATGTGTGTAATGCATGTCTATGAAAATGGGATAATACTTCATAGAGAAAGCTGACAAATAAACCTATGAACATACTTAGGTCCCCTAAAGATTCCAAATGGAAACTGTATCTTCCATAGGATAACTCAGCTCAAAATCCAAATGACTTAAAGCAGGATTTGTTTTTCTTTACAGCTCTTTTTGCTGCTTATCCCATATCACAGAAATTAACTCTGAAGTTTACTTATAGAATTTTTACAGTATTTTTAAAAGTTTACCTTCTTTATAGTCAAAATATATACATCTTCAGCAATTTACCACACCATTATTGCCATAATTTACACACCATAATTTACCTTACCATTATTGCTTACCAGTATTGTCCCTTTGCATGCATTTTTCCCTTGGTATCCAAAGTAAAGGAAAATGAACATAATGGATACATAAATGAACTAGAGAATAGTGACTATAAAAGGCACCCATAATAACTTTCATTGTTTTTATGTTAGGTTAATCAATGGAAAATAAATTTTTTTGGATGATAATTTTCTTAACTGCCAGTATCATTTCGGCTTAAATTTTATGACAGGTACAAAGTTCCTATTGGGACACAAAGGTTCTACAAGGAGAAGGAAGTCATAAACAGGCACGATGCAATTATGTAAAACTCAATTTCCATCTGAAACTGGGCCAGTGAGATGGTTTAAAGACATTTTCTCCAATAATGTTAGTGATGTAACACAGCAGGGATGTTGAAACCATAGACTTTCAATAGAAGTTATGAACATACAAAAATCCCCTCCAAAGATGTCTCATTTATGACCCTATCAAGCATCTGCAGAGTTTATATCACATGTCAACCTCCAACACAGAAAAAAAATGGCAAAAAGTCAACTTTATTTACTATATATCTCCTGGAAACTCTAGAAATTCTTCTAACTTCTTAAAGCATTCTGCAATAGCAAATGCAATAGTGAAATGCTGAGGTGCAAGAGAGTGGATAAGAATATTCTAAATAATAAAGCTAACACACTGTTACAATTTGCTGGGTATAAACCAGCTAATATGACTGCAAATGTACCTCAGTAAGCATACAGAAATAGAAAGGCAAGTTTTAAAATGAATTCAGAGTTTCTATGATTCTATGACTATATGTGCATTATGGCAGAAAAACACTGACCAGTGAATTGAAGAAACTACAAATCTACAGAAGTTTCAACTGCAAAGGGAATGCATGTTATTGCTAAAATAACTTAAGGCACTGGTTAGAAAATAGGAGATTTTATTAAGAATTTCTCTAATTCGTTGCTCAATGGTTCTTAAACCTTATGATAGCCAACTGTTTTTGCAATACTGCTCTATAAGAATTAGTAATTAATGCTAATACACATAAAAAGTGGGAGAAAGATAGATGACTGCACAAAATGTTAGTCCAAAGAGAAAGAGAAGTTTACTCGGAAAATAAAGAGCACGTTAAACAAACAAACAAACAAACAAACAAACAAAATCAAGTAATTCTCAAGGAAACAAGAAATGCCCAGCAAAATGAGTGAAAAAGTAAAACCTATCATGCCAATTAGAAAATGGCAACTCTGATGCAATGAAAAAAATTCTGCTCAATCATTGATTCAATTAAAATGCACAGCAGATTCTTTGACATGCCATTCTCTACTAATTTTGATATAAATGCACTGCATTAAATTCTACTGCAATGTTTCATACATATAGATGATATCAAGTGACATTTTCACATTGCTAGTTGCTTTATTTTGTACATAAAATAATAGTGATGAGATTCATTTTGGAATTTATTTATTGTTAAAAAAAAAAAAAAAAAGAGAAAACAAGAAATGCTGTCTTTTGACACTTTATCTCTGACTAATGCATGCCAAAAAAAAGAAGAGTGAGGCCATAAAGAATATATTACATAATCAAGACACTTCATCAAATGAAAGTGTTATGTCCCATATGATAGGGTGAACTAATTAGAGACTTCCAAATAGTTAAGTTAGTTCAAACATATCCACACGACACTACACTTTGCTTTATAATCACACCCCAAGTGTTAGCCATCTGTTTCAGAAAATCATGTTACTGATATCAAATTCAAACATTCTGAAATTCTAAGCCCTCAACGAGAATAAGTATCTGGAATCACTCACTCATTAGTTACCTGTCAGTATTTGTAGAATTGAAATGTTTTGGAAAAAAAAGATAACTAAAACAATTGCAAATTAAAACTGCTGCATTAAGAGGTCAGAAATGAGAATTTAACCATTGCCTCACATAGAGATCTTGAAAGTATGTAACACTGAAGTGAGCCATTCGATAATTACAAGCAATATTATCCAAAAATGACGCAGAAGAGGTTAGGATTTGGCAACATGAAGGTTAGATAAATAAATAAATAAATTTACACCAGAGGTGGAAATCAGAAATGTTCTTTCTAATCACTAAGTAATTGTAAACTTTATTATTGGAGAGTACGCGAATGAATCAGGCATAACAGAACATTTCCTTGGGCATGAACTCCATTCTGATAGGGCATTCAACACAAAAGGTTTGTGGAATGAGTATGATATGAATTCATGATTTGGTACCACAAACTATGAGTTTTTGTCATTTCCTAACATCTGACTGGGCACTAAAAGTTTTGATACTGTTCTGTATCAAAACTGTTTCATAAAACCTGCCTGTGTTGAACAGATTGTTCCCACACTCCCAGCATCAGAGGCTTCCAGCGGCTTCTATAAGGAAGAAATTTCAAAGTCTTCAGGATGTTCTATGTTGCTTTAAGTGGTGGCTTGGCAGCTTATAGATCGTGATTCTGAAAAGGCTGATTTGGTTCTTAATTTTAATGTTAGCGCTCACTCAGATGCATTCACATGGCTCGTGAAATTAATGCTATTCTCCTTTTAATGTATTGTAAAGAATAGTAATATGAGAACATAAAGCTTTATGCTAATTGAAACACTGTTCAAACACACATAAGAGATCTTATTTCTTTCAATAAACTATATGGGTTATCTGTCATTATAGTACAGAAACAACTTAAAAATTTGTATAATGATTTACTTCCCATTTCAGTTATCCTACAGGCAACCTATAATGCTGTGTTTTACTCCCAGAAAAACAATTTCTTTGTCTGAATCTCTTCAAAAAAGAAATATGACAGTATATACAGCAACTCAACAAGCAGATCATACACTGCATTTATTAATCTATTTTTCTTGATAAATTTGAATTACTTTTCTACCTTGTAACATTCTCTGGAACAGTAAGAATTACTTTCCTTAGTAAAGGAAGGGAGAGCAGATGCAATACTGGGCTGACAGAAAAATAAGTAAATATTTGACCTGATGCTATTTGTTTATCCAAGAGTACAGTTTGAATAAGGTTTATTGTTTGTTGGTAGTAGAGGCTCTTTTTTTTTTATTCCTGGTACTAGCACAGCCTGGATTGTACTCTCATTTGGGCTTAGACTCATGAAGAGCATGAAAATTAAGGTAGTTCTGAAGAGCATCCCTTAAAATTGTGCAGTCCTATTTCTATTTCTCTGCTCAGTAAACAAACGAGAACTCACTTAACTCTCCAAGCCATTACTGCCTCAAACATCAGAAGCCATATGGGATGAAAATGATTTCAGAGTACTTAATGGTTTTGTTTGATTTTGATATGTATGAGATATGCATTGAATAATCTATCTTGTACATAGAAATCCTCGTATATGATACCTAAGAAGCGAAATAAAAAGCATTACTAGATTCCATATACTACTGTTAGAAGTAAAGTTGTGGCATGTAGTTGACATTAAAGCTCACTATATTGAACATATATTGTCCATGAATATTTAACCAGGTTTAATGTAAACATACTTCTACCCCTTCTAGATTCCTTTTATATTTGAGGTCTATAGAAATGTGTTATTAAGTTTCACAAATTCTTGTTAAAGGAGAATTTTATAAAAACATTTAACTGAAATAGTTCTCTAGCTTTAAGAATATGGAAGAAGCAAAATATTTGTTAGCACCAAACTCTAACATGTGACTATAATGCAACTATGAACGATATCCAATTTTAACAGTTAATCTTAATTTTTAATAGCAAATCTTAAGATGTACATTCCCCATGAACCGTGTTGCCAGAATTTTACAGTAACCTGAAACACAGTCCTAACAGCATTCTTATCAAAAGAAAATCTTGCTACCTTTCTTTCATTCCGCAATTAACTAAAAATCTAATTTATGTAGATACCATTATGCTTTCAAAAATCCTTACTGAATTACCGTTTACCTCTTATCAGCACTAAAAGCTACAACCATTTTTTTGCAGAAAAATTACGATATTAACTATATGTCTAAATATTAACATAGCAAAAAAAGAGCTTAGATTTTCTCATGAGTCTACCAGTTAAATCTCCTTATGATGACTTAAATTACAAAACAGAATGAAAAAAAAAAAAGCTACATTTGATTTCAAGCTGTTTCAAGCATAAAATAAAGCAATATAGGCAGCTGTATTTCTCTATCACCTACAAATACATGCTTTCCTCTATGAGGTGTGTAGAAACTACTTAATCTTTCAGTGAGAGATTAATAACGGTCTTCTAAAAGACTGTCATGCACACCAGGCTCAAACTACTTCAGTATACTACTTATACAAAGTGCTGTTTCTGAACCTGATTTTGCTTCACTTCTAGGAAAGAAGAATGTTCTTCTCTAAATATTAGAGCTGCAAATAAATAAATAAATAAATAAATAATCAAATAAAATGATTATCATTTAAATTTCTTTAATCAATGGGGCATGTTGGTAAAAATGTTGGTAATGTCAAGACTTGAAACTTTCTTGCCATGAAGATGATCCAAGGACTGGAGCACCTTTCCAGGAAGATAGGCTGAAGGAATAGGGCTTGTTCAGCCTGGAAAAGAAAGGGTTGTGGGGAGACCACACTGCAGCCTTCCAATATTTAAAGGGAGTTTATAAACATGAGAGAAATCAACTTTTTACACAGGTTGATAGTGACAGGACAAGGAAGAATGGTTTTAAACTAAGACCGGGGAGATTTATACTAGATGTCAGGGGGAAGTTTTTAACTGAGAGAGTGGTGAGGTGCTGGAACAGGTTGCCCTGAGAGGTACTGGGTGCCCTGTCCCTGGAGGTGTTTAAGGCCAGGTTGGATGGGACTTTGAGCAATCTAATCTAGTATTTGATCTAGTGGCTGGCAACCCTGCCTGTGGCAGAGGGGTTAGAACTTGATGATCCTTAAGGTCCCTTCCAGCCCAAGCCATTCTATGAATCTATGTGATAAAATGACATTTAAAAAAAAAGTGAGGTAAAACAAATTTTGCTTATACATATTTTCAGACTATTTTTATACACTGCTATAAAACAACAAAGCTTCAACAATCAAGCTTTATAAAAACTCTTTTGTGAATTATATTTAAATTCTGCCTTATTCTAAAGAACAGAGTTAGATGTATGAAAGAAGAAAATCTTCAAATGGGGAATCAGGAAGTCATTTCCTTGTAAAATTGGACTCAAGACATAATGCTACAGATTTACTACACACTATCTGAACTGCAGTCATTAGCATTTGATGTACAAAACATGTCAGTGGAAGCATCTGCCAAGTGTGATGATCTCGATGCAATCAAAATGTATTCATCCTAAACAAAGCAAAACATGTCTAATCTACTCATCCTAAGCAAAACCAGAGAGAATTAACAAAAGTATACAGAAAATTCTTATGTAAATCAAGCTTGATACAACTGTGTCATCAGCAGACGAACATTTATTAACAGATTACTGAAGTATATTTATGACTATGAAATTCGTGCCTTGAACTATCAGCCAAATAGATCCATCAAAGCTAAAACTGACAAGAACTGAGTGATGCTGATTACTGACAAGACCTTCCCATGCAGAGCACTGTCTGCCAGCTTCCATTATATAGCTAGTTCATGTATAACTAGACTCCCTAAAAAAAAGAAACATGTGGTGATAAAGGAAAATAAATAAGAATTGTACAAGATGCAATAAGTAGATGAAAAGCAACAGGCATTAAAGATTCAGTTCATGATTCTGATGAATTTACAATTCCTTGCCTACTTCCAACACATAGCACTGTGTTTTGCAAACAGAATTTTTCAGCTATGCATCTTATTTCAGAGATTATTATTACCATGTATTCACTTCTATTTCAGAACTGCAATCACACTGATCCATTTAAACAGAAAAGTTTCATAATCTTCTTCATAGTCTTTTTGGTACTTTGGAACACTGTAGCTTTCTCTTAGTAATTTCTTTGAAAGAAAATCAGCTATATTTTGAGTGAGTACAGAAAAAATACAGTAAATTCATATAAACAGATAGATCTATAATTTCTTTTTCAGGTTTCAATTAGTCTTTTTGAATAATTTATTTACAAAGGACGAATCTAGCTTATCCTATTCCATATGCATGAACTCCATCTACAGGGCCAGAAAGACAGACCTTTTAAATACATACAGTAAAGTGTGTTTCTAGATAAAACAAATAATAGAAGCACCAATCAGACATGCTTCCTAGCTTGTACTGATACACAGTACTCATACAGTTACAGTCAGATTCACAACTCACATGTATGGCAATGGAGAAAAAGAAAGCTAACCAAAAGAGAATCTGGTTTAGCTTAGTCTCAGCCTGTCCCAAGATATATATACTTGATATATGTAGTTTTCGTTAGTACTTCCCTTGAATTCAGTTCTGAATGTGACAAACCTTAGTAAGAATCATTTAGCATTCCATCTAATAAGGAAATTGAAGAGAAATTTAGCTGAAAAGCATGGCATACAAATAGAGGAGAAGAAAAATAAACAGTGAAGTTGTTTTTATTATGTAATATTCATGTATTACTGCAATATTTCATGACAGTAAGATGGGCTGAGTTTAGATCATTTGCTTTGATTCATTATTACTAACATACAGCTACCATTCTTTTGCAATGGCTTTCAATTACACTTGTTCAAAAGAAGTGAAAAAGCAATGTTACTGTCAAAGTTGTGGTATACTAATTCTGTGCAAGGAAAGATAAATGCTGTAACCAATAATACTTGTTCCAGGATTAATATTTTCTGGTAAAAATGGTACATGTTAAAACACAGGGCTTTTACCATGCTTTACTAAACAATGATTTTCCATTAGAAATCAAATGATGCTTTGTATTTTTTGAAAATATTTTATGCAATTATTAGAGTCCCTTAAACTGCGTAGAATATAATATGAAGATTTTACATTTCCTCAATTTTCTAAAATACTAATACAAATTAAGAATTATACGTGCTGATGTACACTTTTGTGTCAGTCAGTCAGCTTGCTAAAAACTTCCACTCAAAATAAAAGGGACCAAACATAGGGATCCATTTCTTCCTGAATCTGCAGAAAAATTAAGACATTTTCTGTAGTTTAACTGCTTTACTGTATTTGATCAAAGATATGGCTTTCCCTTTGTCTTTTCAAAAGTTTGGAATTATTAAATAGAGCACAGAGTGTATTGACAATTTTGTGAAACCTAAAACCAAACATACTTTATTAAAGGTTGTTTTTAAAACGCTTGTGTATCTGCATTTGTGAGGCACTAAAAAAACACTCTTTTCTACAATACTTTTAATGAGCCTTCTTATTGCTTGACCAGATTTTACATAATGTGTACTGCCAGGGAGCTTTGTTTTTCCCTGGAGCATTGTGATCTCTACTATTGTTTATAAATCTCCTCATTCAAATAGCTTATGTATTTCCCAGTGAATGTACCTATAGCTACTAGTCCATTATGTTCTACAAGGGCTCATGCAACGTCTGAGTCCAGATTACAAGATTCTTACTGGCCTTGAGCCAATCGGCAAAGGGAGTAGGTTTTGCTATGCAATTTCATACCAGAAGAGTTTCAAATAAATTGTCAACTGAATTCTGAGTACTTATAGGGCTCCAGCTGTTGTGTCAGATCACTATACATAAAATGAGTTGGATAAAAGTGAGCTTCCTATTAGTGGTGTCATAGCTGGCAGTTGCTGAACGAGACTGTCTCTTTTTCTTCTGGTCATCTTGGCAGTGCATCCCCTAGCCATTTCGCCTTCAGTTCCCAGGACTTGGATCTGTGGTCCCCTGCCCCATTCACAGCATCAGGTTGAACCAGCCCATAAACCATCAACCCCCCCCTCTTTTTTTTGGGCCTGTGGGCCGGCTGTTCCCCTGTCACGAACACAGATAGATATAGAGATAACTCAGTGACAAGTGGTCACACAAAGATTTTCTAACAAAAGTACTCTGGCTAACACTTTTAAATACATAAATGTGAGTACATTCAGTTTGACACCAACACTGACAAATCATTTAACTAGGAGAAAGGCACACATCACTGCAGTTCAACAACTGTGAACAGCTTAGGTTCTGATTATAGTGCAAAAAGTGATCTTAGAAGTTTGCAAGAGTTTAGAGAAAGAAATAGAAGAAGAAAACTGATACATATGTATGGAAGCAGCCAAATGCAGATTTGAACTTTGAATGTGTTACTTTTTGTTGTTTTGAACAATGGAACAATATAATTCACCTGTGGGATCAAAATTATGTAGTTACTGCATTATGCACATTCTAAAAGGTGTGGAGAACAACCCACATGTGACATGAGTATTTACTTATCACCCATCTCTCTCTTACTCTGTTTAACTGAAATAAATCTTCATTGGTTTCAGTATTTCAGTTGTTTCATACCTGTGCTCCATATGAAAACATGAGAAAATTGAAAAAATATTAGAGAAACAATATTGGTGAAATCATACAATTCCTTAGTAGCTTTCTCCCCTTGAATTTGAATATTAATTGATTTCACTAACAGCTTCCTACTTCATTGACAATCAACACAATTTTCAAAACGAAATATATATTGAAATATACGTACTCTGAGGAAACCTGGGTGGATTGTCGTTGACATCAGTGAGTGTGATATTTACTGTTGTTGAGCCTGACAGCCCTCCAACCTGCCCAGCCATATCTTTGGCTTGAATGACAACGGAATAATGCTCTCTGGCTTCCCTGTCCATGTTATGCAAGGCAGTCCTGATGACTCCTGTGGTGGAAAGAAAACAAACAAAAGAAAGAAAAATGAGGATTAGCTTGTTCTAGCAAAGGGAAATGCTAAGCACAACTTTTCTTTTCAGGAAAGGTGGAAGAATAGAAGGTTTTTCTGGAAAGACAAAGCTTTTCTATAATCCAAATAAGCTGGGTTTAGACAATATTCATGGTTAAAAGCCAATTAGTTGCCTCCTGTGTATAAACAAATAATAAATAATGGATTATATACGGAGATGTTTGAGAGTGCTTCACTATTTCTTTTTAGAGCAAAAATGCCAGATGCTAGCCAGTCGACTTGCTTGAGACTACAAAACAAAACAAAACAAAACAAAACAACCCACAAAACCTACATAGGTTGCTCTGAAAGTAATGCCTCCTATTTATTTACATGGAAAGAACAACAAAGAGCACAGTCACTCCATCTGACAGAGCAAATGCACAGCTATAAAACACTGTTTTCAAAGACAGTTATCACTAGCAATGCATTTTTGCCAGCAATGAACAAGAGCCTGGATGATGCACTGATAAAAGTCTGCTTGAGCAGAGGTGACCTACTGTTGTCACTGCTGAAATGCACCAACTTGTGCCATGGTGTCAACATAATAAAACAGCAGTCATTACAGAGTCACAGAATGGCCAGGGTTGGAAGGGACCTCAAGGATCACGAATCTCCAACCCCTCTGACACATGCAGGGCCATTACTTTCAGAGCAGACCTCAACAACTATATTAGTAAATTAATAAATAATGAATCCAGCATTGCTAAAATGCACTATCTCAGTTACTGTTTAAATATCTACTTAACAGAACTATTAATGAAAATTCATACCTAAGTGGAGAAGACATAGATTACCTTTTTTTTTTAATAAAAGTTGATTTCAGAATAAGGCTGCTTATCTTTTAAAACTACCCCAAATATGTACTTCCTTATTTACACTTATAAATCATGCACGCTTTTCTTCATAAGTGTATGAGAAGTGAAGGATAAGCTTTTACTATTTCCACTACTCTACAGAGTAGAGAGAAAACTAAAACCTAGTAAGACAAACATTCTATTTATCTTTATGCATCACAACCAGGAATTTATCTTAACATTTAGTCAATCATACACGCAGAAGGAAAGATTACTATAAAGGAATAACAGTCAACTGTGTGAGTTCAGTTCCAGTGTTGGCATATCTTTCATTCATGAGGATGTCTGTAAATGGTAATTTATTTGATCACAGGCTGACAGAAAGTTCATGGAGTTCTGTAAATGGAAATGTCAAGTGCTGCAATAGAGAAGAAATAAGACCAGGCACAACCAGTCCATGCTATGGACAGATGAGATGGAAAGATAATTCCATTGGTGAAAATGCAATTGAAGAAAGAAAAGACAGTTGTAAGAAACTTCAGGTTCTGAAGTACACAGTAGCGGCTGATTACTTAAAATTTCCCAAAGGTATCAGTATCAGGAAGTGCTATGGTTTAACCTGGCAGCAGCTCACCACCAGTTTTTGCTCCCTCCTCCCTGCTAGAGGAATGGGGGAAGAGAAATGGAAAATAAAAATAAAGTATAACTAATGGGTTGAGATAAAAAAAAAAAACTATTTACTAAGACAGAAAAGGAAGAGAAAAGGTAAAAAAAAAATACTAATGATAATAGTGTATATATATATATTAAAAAAAAAAAAAAAAAAAAAAAGCACAATGCAACTGCTCACTATCTGCCTAATAATGCCCAGCCTGTCCCCAAACAGAAGCTGCTCCCCTGGCCAACTCCCCTCATGTTACAGTTTTCTCACTTCCACAGGCCTTCTAAATTCAAATACAGCCTGAATCTTTGTCTCATATTTGTTAGGCACTACTGCTACCTTGTTAGCTGGCTACTTCTCAGATGTATTTCCAATATTTATTCATCTTTATTAAAAAAGGAAAGCAAGAATAAAAAAGTAAGATGTATAAATCGTTACAAAAACTCTGCCATACTGTTTTGGATATTAAGGAAGAGTTATATTAAGGAAGAGACAGTTAGGTAAAAACTGTATACATCATGTGGAAGTTCAGACCTTGGAGCAGAGTTGCAGATGCAGCTCTGGATCACTGGACTGCTAAGTCTAGTCATACCAATTTCCATCTTAAATTATGTGAGATCTGTTTTCCCACACGGAAGGCTACTCCTGAACACACTTTTTCTTCAAACTTGTCTGAATTTATGCACCTCTAAATCATAGTCATTTTTGTTGTTTTATTTTTTCCCCTGATAATTTATAGTCTTGAACTGTACAATTTGAGTTTATTTTTCTTGATCATTAATGACCAGATACTTGCTTGTATTTCAGTTCAGACTTCATAACCACAATTATCAATTACAGCTTAAATTTTCATTTTATTTTCCAGATTAGACACATGGGTGGTTTACCTAAGACAGAGTTGCTCAGGACTTTCTCCTCCAATGATATTTCTAAATTAATGAGACTGGAGTTACTGTGCTCTTATAATCAGCTCTGCTACAAGGTGTTCCATTATGTTCTTCTTGCTCTTCACCTCTGAGACATAAACTTCTTCCTCTTTACTCACAATTCCTCACAGCTATATTCTTTATTATTTAACTGTACTCTTAACTGACAATGTGATGCGCTTGAAGTAACTTAACTTATTGCTTATATGTAAGAACTCACTTTAGATTCAGTAACCAACGTACAATTTTAGTCAGCTTTCTCTTACAGCCTATTCCTGGAAGGTGTGTGAATGGAACCTTCCCAGAATAAATGATGGTTCATTTTAACATTCTTAGCTCAGAGGTTTTCAACCTAGTGGAAAACAAAACAAAACAAAACAAAAACCCACTTTTGCTTTAGTGACAATCTAATTTGTTATGGGCTAGTTAGTTTTTTGTATGGAAATTATCCATCCTGCTGTTGTATCCTGCTAATCAGTAGAGATTTTCTGAATGGCCAGTAGGTTTTACCAGATCTCTCATACTCTAGTTTCTTATTTGTGTGCCTTGTCATAAACACAACCACTAAACTGATTTTGTAACTTTTAGTAATTGCTGAGGAAAGAGAACTGCTATAGATGGCAATTTCATTAGTATTACTTTTATATTTTGAACAAAAATACCTATTTTTATACCTGTGTTGCTTTAGGATGCGTAGTTAACTTTTTTATTTTAACTTAATGTTCTGAATATATTATATATACTAACATACATTTCAGAATCTAGTACTATTCTACCTTGAAAGAACTTGACATATCCCTTTTGTGAGAATGAAGGAGGACTATTATGGCTTTTGACTTTCAATTTATTATTAGTGGTTGAAACCTCTTAATTAGTAACAGCCTGAATTTAGAAAATAAAAGAAACTTCCGCCAAAGCCTCCCAAATTAAGGGACTGGAAGAGAACTTCACTGACTGAGCAGAAAACATACCAATTTATGTGGCAATTGCAAGGATGCCAAATGAAATCATAGCATCTTCCACTGTTTTCATAATGAAAAACATAATCAAATGAATTAAATTAAGAATATTGCTGCCTGCCAACAAGCAGAGAAGCAACACAGATCTGCCACATAAAATTGCTGCAAATCAAAGGAATATATATTACAGAAATACCATGGCAACTGGACACCCTATTTGAGCAGGAAGCTGTCATTCTTTCTCTTGTCAATAGTTAAAGCATATTATATAGCTTACAAATTTGTCAATTCTGTTCAATTAAAATTGTTCATACTTTCTGAAAAAAGTAAATTTTTTTCTCAGCATCTTGTAATCTGGTTGAATTAGGACACTACCACTAGGGATGTCTCTCCACTGAAATGATGTACATGTTCTATTGACTTCGGAGCATAGATAGTTCCAAATTACTGCCCTTTGGAAAGGTATCTATTGGATTTAGCAGTACTGGATTGCTGGTTTATTCCACTCTGACTGTAGTTATTCCTGTAAACATTAACTCTTCCCTTTGGCTCAAAAACCTGCATTAAAATTATCAGCTAATACAGCATTGAAATAAAACCAATATTCTGGTGCAAATCTTAGTATCTAATAACATGAAAGATCAACCTGCTGCACTGACATTTCTATTCTGCTTTCATACTCAAATTCTTTCATCAAATCTAAGCCTGGTGTGACTCTACATGGCTATAAAGATTAGGGTGTCCTTTATTTTTTTTTTGTTGAATAGCTAAAACACAGGTCTCTATGTCTGAGGACCTCTACACAGTAAAACTTGAGTTTTTAGCACAACTCCAATGGTAGCTGGTAGGTTGTCTGGCAGTAACTTGAACTATGGTGTATAATTTTTTTTTCTGTGTTTCTGTTTCTAACAGAGTTAATCATGATGAGTAAAATGGGTCTATATTGTAGATCAGTGAAGCTAGAAATGATTTTAATACAAAAATGAAGATGGAACAGAATAAGATGCTTCTACCATAATAATGAAACAGTAAAATATCGAGTCATTAGATTTAGTTGGGCACAATATGACATGCAGCATCAATTCTGTAAATATTTCCCAGTTAAAAGGAACATCTTACAACCATCTACACACACACACACACACACACACAAAACAAACAAACAAACAAACAAAAAAAAAAACATGAGCTGAACTATAAGAGTGCAGATGACCTTGATTTTCCAAAAATATTTTCAGATTCTCTAAGACAAAACAAATCAGTAGTGGGGAAGTCATGCAGTCACCACCTGGCAGTCCATAGGATGGGCTGCAAAGTCACTGGATGCCACAAAATTGTCCAAAGTTCCTAATATCTAGTTTAAATTGACCCTCTGCCCATTTAGAGCCATTTCCTTCATTCTATCACTACATGCCCTAATAAAAAGTCCCTCCTCAGCCTTCCTGTAGGCCCCTTCAGGTACTGGAAGGCCATTTAAAGTCTCCTCAGAGCCTTCTCTTCTCCAGACTGAAGAGCCCCATCTCTATCAGCCTGTCCCCATAGAGGAGGTGCTCCAGCCCTCTGATCATCTTCATGGCCCTCCTCTGGACCTG